CTCACCTGCGCGCCTTGCACGCGGGGTTGCAGCTCACCTTGAGCACGCTTCGTCGCGAATATTGGGTGCTTCGCGCTCGAACTATCGTCAAATCGATCATACATCGTTGCGTCGCGTGCGCGCGCCGCCGTGCCGACCCAGCTGATGGGCAGTTTGCCGAGCACCCGCGTGACTGCTCCGTCTCGCAGTTTTTTGCATTGCGGCGTCGACTACGCCGGACCCGTCGCGGTGCGCGCTTCTGCCGGCCGCGGCATTAAATCAATCAAAGCCTACATCGCTCTATTTGTATGCTTAGCGTCTCGCGCTGTCCATCTCGAGCTCGTATCCGACTACTCGACTGCAGCATTTCTTAACGCTTTCGCTCGATTTTGCGCTCGCCGTGGATTGCCACAATCTGTGTACTCAGATAACGGCACGAACTTCGCCGGCGCAAGCCGAGAGCTGCACCTAGCATACCGGACTGCATTACGCGACCCTGATCTCCAAGGTCGACTCGCATCAGACAAAATCGACTGGCATTTCATCCCACCCTCCGCGCCGCATTTCGGCGGCATCTGGGAAGCCGGGGTGAAAAGTGTCAAGCACCATCTGCGACGGGTGCTTGGCGATCACACGCTCTCTTTCGAAGAATTTTCGACTTTACTATGCAAAATCGAAGCGTGTCTAAATTCGCGTCCGATCGCCTCGCTCTCCGATAACATTGACGAGTGCGACAGCCTCACGCCAGGCCATTTTTTAATCGGTTCGGCAATAACCACCCCCCCGGAACCGTCTGTGCTCGATCTGCGCGCGAATCGAATCTCAAGGTGGCAACTCCTCCACCAACTCACAGAACGATTCTGGCGACTGTGGTATAACGATTACGTTAACACCTTAACTCAGAGGGGTAAGTGGCGACGAGTGCAGCAGTCGATACGAGAGGGAACTCTCGTTCTCTTGCGCAACCCTAATCTCCCCCCGTGTAAATGGGAGCTCGGAAGGGTTATTCAATGTCATCCTGGCTCGGACGGACTGACTCGCGTTGTCTCCGTAAAAACGGCGACCTCTCAGTTCACCAGGCCCATCGGAAAAGTTTGCGTCCTGCCGATCGACTGCGATGCGACATCCCGCGGCGAACCGGGTCCGAACAATGTGAGTTGCGAGCGCGAATCGTAACTGCGTGCGTCAGTTCGAGTTGCTTGCGTCAGCGTCTCGTCAAGTTAGTTTTAGTTATAGTGCATCGTTTTTGTGCCGCTCAATATTTTCTTGCATTTCACCGCGGGTCTCCTGCCCCGCTGGAAGTCTCTCGACCAATCTGTCCTCGCTGCTTAATTGAAGCTGTCGCTTCAAGGCGGGCGGCATGTTCGAGATTCGAACAACCTCGACGGTTAAACTCACGTCAGCGGGACC